GGCCCGGAATCCAGGGTTGCCAAGTACCGGTTTGGCCTTCCTGATCCACATCACGAAACCTCACCCAGCCTCACCTACCTTTCCTACCAAGGCCACCTGCCCCTGGCCCTCTCCCTACCACATGACTCTCCTTCCATGGAAGGAAGTCTATGCAGGCGGAGCTTTCTGGGACAGCTACGGGGATGCAGTGTAGGGCCCTGCTGCAGCTTCCCTCACCCCTCCTGGAGGGCAAAAGGCTACCCTGGAACGCGCTGCCCTCTCTGGGCACTTGCCAGCAGTGAGTAGGCTTCCGATCTATTGCCCCTTCTGAGTTCGCCCGCAGCATTACAGGCCTGGTGACAGCAAGGAGGAGGGCGGTGGGTGACCTCGGGCCCCTCAACCTCAGCCCCTGGCGAGGCACAGCCTCCGTCAGGTCTTGGGTACGCATCCTGGCCAGGGCCTGGGCTGGCCTAGGACTGCAGCTCTGGCTTCCATAATTCATGTTGCTGGAAAGATGGCTCAACAATAACCGGGGTTTGCTTACTGCTGAGGAGATCAAAGTCCTTCACAGACTTCTGCAATCCTACAGGTCAGGCAGCTCACCGCCAGGGCACAGAGTGGTGACTTGCCTCAAGTCACAAAACAAGTTGTGACAGAGTTAGAAAACGTCCAATTCCCCTCTCTTACTCCCGGGCTGTGGATCTCCTAGTCAGCTCACATTTTTCTTTTCAGTAAAGACAGAGACTACAGTCAGAGGACGAGCCCAGGTTTCACCCCAAGAGGGAGATGCAGAGGGAGAGGCAGTTAGAAGCTCCAAGTCTGTAGGGCAGTCGGTTCGAGCCTGAGCTCTGCCCCAGGGCTGAGTGACCTTGAGCAGGTTACTCAACATCTCAGAGCCCCCGTTTTCTGGCCTTACAATAGGAGCAACCACAGTACCTGTAAAGCCTGCCTCCTCAAAGTGCAGCCTATTTGCATCCCAGGAAACTAGTCAGAAAAGAAGAATCAAGGTCCCTCCCAGACCTACAGGATCAGAATCTCCCTTTTATCCCAGATGATTCTAAACGCACATTTGAGAAGCCCAGATATAAAGCATTTATCACATGCCTACAGTCAGCCCTCAATAATAAATGTAAGTGCAATTAGCACTTGAAAGAGCCCAACACACAGGCCAAGGCCCTCATGAGGAAACAGACCCAGAAAGGCTGATCAACTTGCCCAGGGTCCTACGGTAGCACCAGGATTCGAACCCAAGCTTCTGTACCACATGCCCTCTTTCCATTTAAGACCTAACTCACCACGGGGTACAACACTAACTCAGGTGTTCTAAGAAGCAAAACCCTCATGTTTTAAAATAACACCCTGGTCACTGCGCACACCTCCTGTCACACCTCGACGCTAGCACTTCTGGGCAGTGTCTGCCAATCAGAAGCTCTCTAGGAAGTAGAGTGAGCCAGGACTGCTGCCAGCTGCTGCCTGAGATGAAATTTTTAAAGAGAAAGGAAGCCTTAAAACACACCTTATAAATTTACACTCCCTCTCACCTATTAACACCTTCCTCATGCAGCACTCACTGCCCAGCAGAGAACACCACAGGGCGTCAAGCTAGAAGGCATCTTTTTGGCTTCCCACATGACACATAGCCTGAGAGCAAACCCTAGTGTGCTGTCTTCCCAGGGCTGGAGCCCTGTTCGCAAGGCCCATGGTCCTGGGTTCCCTAGACACTCCAACAGAAGGGAGATGGGTAAGCAGCAGCAGAGCTGGGGGCCCCAAAGAGGCCAAATGTGCAGGGATGACTAGGAAAGCGGGTCTCGAATCACAACAGTAAGACTCACCTGCCGTATCCAGGACAAACATTTACAGAAACCGCTCCAAATGATCCCTGCTTACTTGTGTGCAAGGCACAGTGACACAGTCGAGTGGCAGAGGGAAGAGGCTAGGCTGGATGTCAAAGATCCGGGTTCCTATCCTGGCCAACACCGGGTTTGTGAAAGAACCTACACATAGGGTGGCTGTGGGGATTAAATGTGATGAACGTCAAATATCTAGCCCAGAGCACAGAGATGGTGTCATCATTCTATCGACCTATCTATGCTAAGGCCTGGGCACAGAAATTTTCTTGTCTGTCGTATTTCAAAGTTTGGAAGTCCAAGCAATAACTGTGATTGGTTTTACAAGTGTCCAGATGGAAGTAACAAAAAATAAAGGGTTTCAAGATTTCAGATCAGGAAATACTGATTTTTATATAGCCATAACAAACCCGATAGATGAAATCTCAAGTTCATTAAAAAAGGGGCAGATTTCAGATCCACTAGAGCCATGCTTTCCAAACTTTTATTTCTATATGAATCATCTGGGGATCTTGTTAAAATGCAGATCTGGACTTAAGTAATCTAGAGGAGGGCCCGAGAGTTTGCATTTCTAAGAGCTCCAGTGAAGCCAAAGGTCCAAGAGCCCACACTTTTGAGCAGCAAGGTTCTATAGACTTCCTTAAGTAGCAAGAGACAAATCTAAGGAAAGCCCAATTTGATTTAAAAACTACATGCTGGGGCCGGCCCCATGGCTTAGCAGTTAAGTGTGCGTGCTCTGCTGCTGGCGGCCCGGGTTCGGATCCCAGGCGGGCACCGACACACCGCTTCTCCGGCCATGCTGAGGCCGCGTCCCACATACAGCAACTAGAAGGATGTGCAGCTGTGACGTATAACTATCTACTGGGGCTTTGGGGGAAAAAAATAAATAAAATTTAAAAAAAAAATTAAAAAATAAAATAAATAAAAACTACATGCCGGCAGAACATCCCTGAAGTAGTGTATGGAACCACCCAGGCCAGCAGGGTTTCTCAAAGGGAGGCACACCAGAAAGCAACTGGCATTCTTTAAGAGGGCCCCGGGCCTTATTCAAATGAGTCTGTACCCTACATCACACCTTGTCTAGGCAGATGAAAATACTCTCTAGAGATCATGAAAGCAGCACGCATCTGAGAAAACTCTTGAAAGCATCACAGTGCCGGAAACAAAGCGTCCTAGGATATTTCAAGTTCATTGCCACTCCAACAGGTAGTGGCCAAGCTACCTCTTCAAGGCCTTTCTGAAATCACTGTTTTACCCGTTTCCCTCCTCTTTGTACATTAAATTCGATGCTGTTTCTGTTGACAGCCGTAATTTTTTAAAAAATGCCTATCAAGTTGCCAGATATGGATAATTCCAAAGTAGTAAGATGAATGTGACTGTCAGAAAGGGAAGCATCTTACATTGACCAGCTCACCTTAACGTGTGTGTTGAGGGGAGATCGACAAAACATCTAAGGGGCTCATATCTATAGGATCAGAGTAAATTCTGGCTAGGCTTTAGATCAGAATACCAACACACTAGATCCCCCACATCCCCCGAAATGAGAGTCTTGGAGACAAAGTGTCAGGTAATTTGATCTCCAGCTGCTTTTAGCACAGGAACACATCTGTCTACCAGGAGACACAGGCCAGCCTTGCACACTGGCTTAGAATAACATGTATGTTTATTACAATTCCTGTCATGACCCTCTGGACCAGCTGGGCTTACATTCAAACTACGGAGTCTTTATAAGCCAGGGTGTGATGTCGAGCAGTTAACATCATGCTGCCCAGAGACTGCTGAGTGCGCACCACCAGCCCAGAGAGGAAGGGACTCCCTGCTGTGCACTCACCCGCTAATGGGGAGACTTGACAAGAAGTGCCAGGGCCGGACTGTCACCTGTGCCCAGCATCACTAATTCATCCGTGCAGTCACGAGGCTGCTTCCCCGGCTCCACACCCCCGCCTGCAGCCCCTGTGCACTCACTGCTATGCTACCTACGAAGCAGGGTCATGATTTCACCCACTTGGGAAGAAAGAGACTCAGAACAAACTTCTGGATGAGCAGGCTTGTTCTTCCCCATTGGTACATTGGGGGAGGAAGTTAAGTTTTCCAACAGGCCACCTTCTTACTCAGGCCAGAGCAAGCCTGACCCTTCAGATGAGCAGCACACAAGAGAGGCTGTAACCAAAAACGCTGTCTCTTCTCATCTTAAGGCCTGCAAAATGCTGGCAAGGTCCCATCCCAGAAGGGGAAACTGAGGCCCCAGGAGGTTAAACTAACTGAGCCAAGGTGAAGTCAGTGCTATAACTAACTTCACAGGAGGCCTTATCAACTAACAAGAGAGGTCACTCCCAGGAAACAGGCCTGCATCCCCCCTCCACTCCGGTCCTCTTCCAATCTCCAGTCCCTCTGCCTGACACAGACTTAACTCTCAACTGTCCATTGAACATATAGCCCCTTGAACATATGGCGACAAGCTCCAACTATTCCCTGAACACCACGCAAATGTCCAACATTTCATGTTTTTGCTAAGATGTCTCATACCTCCAGATGACTTAAGCTAGCAAAAACAGCAAGCTTTTAACTAACTCTAACAAATTCATCCTGGAATGGAAAAAAGCATCCTCAAGCCCTATTTCCTCCCTGTCCCTCACCCCCAGGATCCGGTGCTAGGAAATGTAAAGACTTTCCATTTCTTAGGAAAACGCCAAGTTTTTCTGGGATGCAGGAATACTTTGAGCGCAGGCGGGAACTTCTTAGGAGGGATGCATGGCGAGTCTGCGACAAATTGAGGCTCACACGCGCCGCTCAGCCGCCGGCCGGACCCACTGCTCGACTCTGCGCCCCGCCAAGTCTTGCCTGGCGTGGGGAGAGCGCGTCTCTGGGTCTGGACCAGGCTTCTGGAAGTTCGTGATCTCCTCCTTGTAATGGGAGGTTCTGGGGCCGCTTTTTAATAGGCTCCCGCAACTCCTAACTCCGGACCCAGTGCATGAGCGTGGTCTTCTGCTCTGCGAGTGCCGGGCTCGTGCACACACGTGTGAACGCACATTCCCTGAGGACTCTCTTTCGCGTGCCCTTGTGGTTCGGAATTCGGGCCAGAAGCCCAGGGATCCGGAAGGGCGCGGGATGGTGGGAGCGACCCCGGCCGGGAGGGCCGCGGGGTTGCGCGCGCGGGGCGTCCAGGATACTCACCGGGACCTCTGCAGCTGCTCAAAGGCGCTAGTGCTGCCCCCCTGGCCCGGCTGCTCCAGGGAGCAGTAGTTCTGCGAGGTCTGCCTGGAGAAAGCGATGGGCAGGATTCCCTGAGTGAACGAGTTGAGGCGGCCCCGGCTGCCGCCCCCACTCCCGGGCGTCCCGGAGCCCAAGAAGGCAACCGCTGGCACCTGCACGCTGGTAAAGGCATCGTCCTCCTCCAGCTCTTCCCGCCCGGCGCCCCCGGGCCCGTCGGGCTGCTGCGGCTGAGCGCAGGCGGCGATGGGCGCCGGCCGTGGCAGCTGCCACTGCTCCCCCGACGCCCGGCCCGCGCCCAGGGAGC